AACAAAAATAAAAACAACTATTCAATTTCAATTATTAATGAATTGGTTAATTAAATATTACTTAATCTTTCTATGATTATTCTGCAACAGTTCAATTTTGATTCAAAAGTTGAATGGCACTCAAGGCTACAATCAGTTTTTAGCTGCTGAATAATGTGAGAGTTTCAAGATTTAATAGCTAACATAGCATCTTCAAATGTGGAGAGCCATGTTAGTGTTAAATTGTACAGACTCAAGGTTAGTATTATATAGAAACATCCTTGACAAATGGTTAGCAGGAAACATATTGAGATAAAAAAAATCTTAAAAACCGTACCATCTGTTTTACTTAATTTTATACTTACCAAATAAGAGATAAATACAATTCAGATTTCTCACATTAAAAAAAATTACTTTTGACTTTAAATGTGCTTTTTTTTTTAATTTTTATTGATAAATATATAGTCACAATAACCATAATTATCTATAAGTTATTTATATGTGATTAAATGGGTGTGCAGAATAAATACATATTGCAATGCAATTGACAACAGGCTTTAATTTTCCCTCACACTCATGCAATTTTTTAATTATTGGAAATAATTAAAAAATAATTGGTCCCTGATTTTGAATTTTTTCTTCTTTACAACTGATGAAATAATGAAGAATTGAAAAAAATTTTTTAAAAATACTCTCAAAACTGAGGTATTCATTTTTATAATCTTCATCATCTCTCTTACAGAAACATCTGCAAATTATTTACCCACACAAGATATTTTGCTGACATCAGTGACAGTCCTGTAATTTTTCCCTCCTAAATCTTTAGATTCTGTACCCCAAATATGAGTATTTTTGTCGTCCTTTTTTCTGTACAATTTTAAGTTACCAGCTTGCACTTTTGAAAACCTTACCTTTTCTTTCAATGTTTTAAATATTGTTTACCAACCCAAGAATATGTAGAGTGTACATAAAAGCCCGTTTACCATAACTATATTTCCTTTCAGCAAAAAGTCATCATATATTTTAAATAAAAAAAAAAAATAGATATATTTATTCAGAAATCCCTTCCATCCAGCAGGTGTTTTCTGCTCAATGTTCATTAGGAAGTCTGAAAAATGAGACAAATAAAAAAAAAAAACCTGATATGTTTCATATGGGTTTGAAAATAGACAAAAAACATTCTCAAACTCTGCAACAGAATTTCAACATAGAACAGAAGAAAACTGTTAAAAAAATAAATTGGTTTAATAACTAAACAAAAATTTGGAGAATTTTATGACAAAGAGGAAATTTATTGAAATTAAACTTCCTCCCTCTTTCTCTCTCAACCTTCCGTCAAAAACAAAAGAAACATCTGTCGTCAATGATTGACAAAATATGTTCAACAGAATTTTCTTTTGCCAAAAACTTACCTGCCTAATTTCACTAGTGTAAATAAGTGATTTCAGTAAAAAAAACAAAAAAATTTAATTGTAAAATTTTAAAAATATAACTAACTAAATGAGGATATTTGGGCTTCCTTTATATCATAATGTGGGATATTTAATAACAAAATTGATGAAAACATGAACAAAAAGAAACTAAATGAAATCAGATAGACTATATATCTAAAATATATATTTAAAAGGAAAAAATAAATGAAATTTTAAATTTGCAGTGTCCCTTATCTTTCATGCACGTGTTATTGCATCTACATAAACAGCACTTTAGTCCAATAAAGTCCTAAAGCATGAAACATCACGTGAAAACTTTTTCCACTTTGTCAGTTTTTCCCATAAAATTGTTCGAGATATATAAAAATTTATATATCATTTTCTTTTTTATATATATATATATATATATATATATATATATATATATATATATAATAAAAACAAAAACTTATCTAGTTAAATTTTGGAATTTTTAATCTACTAATAACTGAATTATAAATATGGCATCATTAAAATTTATTGTATTTTTTTAAGTAAATATTATTCTCATATTCCCAGTGGTTGATATTTTTTCAAATGTAAATTATTAATGTTATTTTGTGCTTTAAAGAAATTTTATTCACATATTCATAAATATCACACTACCAGTAATTATATACATATATTAAGATAAGATTTAATATTTAAAACTACCAAAATTCCTTATAAACACAATACTGTATAAATGGAGATTAAAATTTGGAGCTGTTGCGAGAAAAAAAAAAAAACTGAATTTTTTTAATTTAGAATAACAAAAAAAATGTTGCACCTTGTAAAAAACTTCCCAAAGAAAAGCTATGATTTTAATAATTCTACAACATGGTTTACTTGTTTCCTTATTTTATTAAAATTATTCAAGTTAAATTCATATTAACAGGATTTTTCTAAAATAAGAAATTTGCCTCATTTGGATAAAGTTTGTCTTTCTTATCTTTTTTTTAGGTAGGGGTCATAGGGACAGCATGTGTACTGAAGCCACAGTAGAAGTGGTGTTTCTTTTTCTTATCTAGAGAAAAGCAAAAGCAATGAAAATAAAAAGTGTAACAATAAAATCTTAAATGTATAGAAAAAAAAATAAATTTCTTTTCTTAGAAGAGTTCCTTTATCAGGAAAAATTATGTTTTTTTTAAATATTCAGAAATTGCTTATTTAAAACAGTGATTCCCAATAGCTGTGCCACAGCAAACTACTGTACCACATGATCCTCTTAAAATATTGTCATGGCATACATGTGTGTGTGGAAGTATTAATGGTACAGAATTAGTATTTGAATAAATGAATAAGTTTTAAACTTTTTTCAAAGAATTCTTTTCACTATTCTTCAATAATATTATTGTAAATACTTTGTTTTAGTATTAATTTTTGTAAAACTATTTTTATTTTTTAATTTAACTTTTTAAAATTTTCTTTTATTTGAATAAATGAATATTAATCTTTTTTCATATATTTGCTATATTCAACATTCTTTGTTTAATTCAAAATTTTTACAAAGTTATATTGAATTATGAATTAATAATAAGGAGATATGAGGGTCTGCTTATTGCACATTAAACCAAACATTGAAGAAATCATGAAAAAATACCAGGCACAGGTTTCAAACTAAATAAGCTGCATAAACAGTTGAATAGAAACATTGAAATAAAGTAAGTTCATATTTGTGTGTGTATTTTTTCAAACTATGGTTTTATTTCATAACATTTAAATGTATACCCTTTAAAATTTTTGCTAAGTGTTCTGTGATATTTTCATTTGGTCCTAGGTGTGCTGTTGCTTAAAAAGATTGAGAAACACTGACTTAAAAGAAAGATTCTTTTAACAAAACCAATTATTGTCAGGATATTCAGAAATGGAATAACAATGAAAATCTAAATAATGAGCAATGATGGTAGTTTTGGAAAAAAAGATGCTTGCAGCCAATAATATATTTTGATTAACACATAATGCTGAGAGGACATAAAATGAAGGAACAATTCCTTAATAATAAATATTAAATAAATTCCTTATTTTTTTTTACCCACAATAAATTCTATACATTTTTATCATCCAAATATGATCTCTGAAAAAACATACTGATAGCAAAAGTGAGGCTGATTACATACATTTTTTTAAGCCTCTTCCCATCATCCTCAGAAATAAAAATAAAAAAAACACACCAATGTCAATAAAAAAAAAAAGAATTTGCTTTGTAATAAACAGATTTAGGTCTGCATAAGTTATGAAATAATGGATTTACAAATGACCATTTAATAAAGAAGAGATGATTGTTGTGACGTAAAAAATAACAAGGAAGATTTACAGCTTTTATACTTTGGGGAAGAGAAAATTGTATAAAACCAATGGCGGACTGGGTTTAAAAATATTGGTTGCCAGGAGACAAAAGGGACACACCTACAACTACAATGCTATCATTTAATTTTCATAATAAATAAATAATTTTCAAAAAATACATATGAGAAAAAGGATACAATTTAAATATTCATGAAAAAAATGTGTATTTCTTAATTACAGAGTACATATTACTGGCAGTAGATATCAAATATCAGTAGATATAAAGAATGTTGTCATTTAATTTTTTTTTTATTTTTTAAATTTTAAGTAATTGGTTGATATTTTTAAATAATTTACTGCAAAATTTACCAATTAAGACATAATTCAAAAACATAACAAAGCATTGCAATCCACTACATTAAGAGCAATCATTTATGTTCACTAGATGAGTGTTCAAATCTACCAATAATTGCTTCTGCATCTAATTCATCTAACAATTCCTTTTCAGTGGATAGCAATTTATGATTTGAAATTCTCCTCAAACTTTCTTAACTTTGTCTTTATAATCTTTAGCTTTGAAAATGTCCTTTCACATTGGATGTGAGTAACTGTGTACAGATGACATTATAAAATTCTTATTCCTTTTTATTACTAAAAACCACCAGTTGTCTGTGCTTGTTTCTTTATTGTGTTTTTATTTGATATAGGGGGCCCATATATCATCAAGCAAGCTGACACTCTAGCCAGTCCACCACTTCTTATAACGCAGAAAAAAAAAAAAAGATGATTTCTTGGATAAGTTCTAAATGAAGAGAAAGAAAAAAGACGGCAATTTTTGATGCTGTGTGTACCATTCTTCCTAATTTCTGCAAAATATCATTCAAAGCGGAGGGAGAGAGAGAAAGAAGTGGTAAATATATTATTTACGCAATAAAATATGCAAAACAATTAAAAATTGAATTCTTTCTTATCTAGAAAGTAACAATTTCTTCTTCTCTGTCTACTTTTGGATTCTAAATAGAAAATCTGTTAAATGTGTAAAACAACAAAAGAAAGAGAAAGATTTTCATAACAAATAATAGGCAAAGGAAGTTATACAAATTATCCTATTTCTTATCAACAAAAATACATGTTAATGTCATTTAAAAAATGTTGCAGTGGGCCTTTCTGGAAATTTTGGTCATACATTCAAAACAATAGTTGGCCAATTGTGGAATTTTGTGTTATTTAACATGTGAAACTGATTCAGTCAACTATCTTTACAGAATGTTTTAATGTATGTCACGTTTTGTTTTTGAGCACATCATTCAAAATAGCTGAGGATAAATTTGAATGTTTCTTGCTGGACTGAGAATCTGAAGTTACTGGTGAAAGTACAGGAAAACCAGGAGCCATTGGAGCCATTAAAAGATGTTGTCCTTGTGTAGACAAATGATCATCAACCGAGACAGGAAGGGCTACATGACGTGGAGCCGTAAAAGGATTAAAATTTGAGGGAAGTTTTTTGCTTGTTTTATTTTTGTTAGGAGATTCTTGATCCACTTCATCTGTATTCATCTTCAAAGCAGGCAAAGGTGGCGATGATTCTCGTTCTAAAAACTTTACAAACAGTTCTGAAAAGCTCTGAAGAAGAAAAAGAAAGATTAAAAATACTAAAGAAAAAGTTTTTAGAAGATTAAAACAAAACTCACACACAATTTTCTCTTCTATTTTGCTAAGCAAAACATTTTGTTAATTTTTAAATATTTATATTTATTTGAATGCTATAAGAAATTTAGGATAGGAAATTGAGCACAGGATAGGTTACATTAAAAATAATTTTGTCCAAGACCATAAGGTGCTAAGAAACCAAAATATTAACAGGAGGACTTCAGTTATGTTCCTTGGTTTTAAATTAATGAGAATTGGAAATGTCCTCCAAGGAGGGCAATAACCAGCAGATTATTTTCTCTGCAATATCTTTAATCCTTTGGAGGGCTTTTTTTTCCATTGCCAAAGGATTACAGATATTACACCAAAAATAACCGGATGCTCTTTGCCCTCAGAGTACATTTCTAATTCTTGTTCTCACAGCAGAGCAAAAAAAAAAATAATGAAAGACAACACGCATCCCAGGTACCACATTTTTTAATTTTTACCCTTAGAGCAACATTTTATTTTTATTAGCTCTAGGACAAAGCAATTAAGGGACAGTTTTTATCCTAGGGCCATACATAAAAGGAATGCTACCAATGTTCAATGTATTTTAAACATATTACTTTTCTTCATTTGATGTCTGTTTTTTTTTTTGTATGTGTGTCTGTGTGTTGGTGCACCTGGAGACTGCTGTCTAATTTCCCTGTACAAGGACAAGAAGAATAAATAAATATCCTTGTCAGATCTAGACTCTCATATGGATGTCATGCATGACTTCCAACTTGTTCAAAAATGTCTAAGCTATCATCTACATATAATCAATTTCTCAGATCAATGATTAGAATTGGTTTTTAAGCAAATGAATCTTTTAGTTTTTAAAGAAGACAATCCTTCTTCAGAAACCATAGACTGGCACTACAAAATCATAAACAAAGAGCAGCTTCACAAAATCCCAAAAATAACATTGCTTGAAGACTTGCAGCAACAGCAGCAATAAAAATAGGTAGCAGATGTAGAAGTGAAAATAATGATATAACCAAGCTATTAATCTCCACATGACCAAAAACAAAAGGTTAGAAAGAAATCTCCTATCAATACTAGAAAGAGCTATAATGGTGGGCTTGAGAAGTCTATATTCCTGAAAAACTCTTTTAATAGAAAGATTGTAAAAACTTCAAATGACAGTAACACTGTTTAGTTAATGAATGCTGATGGCTTCCTGTATAGAAACAGCTAAAATTACCATTAAATAATTTCTTGACTCCAAATCTGACAAAATTTTCAAACATTAAAATTTGTTTTGAAATCTCTTCTTATTCATGCCAAGAACTTTTAAGCACCCCTTATATGTTTAACCTTTATGTCCATAAAAAATAGTGTTTCTAAAGGACACTTATTCCCTTGACATTGCAAGTACTGTATACACTTTTCACTCCCTCAGCAATATTTATTGTTTTAAAAAGCAATGATCAGAATTTTAATAAAACCCAAACAGATGAAAATAGATTTATAAATTTTCTTTACTCCTGAAGATATTAAACACTATATATTTATTAGATTGCTTATTTACAAGAATAATTTTATATTCACAAAATTATACAAATATATGAACCAACTATAATGAAATGTTTATTATTTACCATTTTATAAAGAAATAAATAGGAAAAGAAATTTTTTATCCATAAATTTATAAAAATATCTGAACAAGAAAATTTAAATAAACGTATAACTGTAATTATAAATTTTGAAAAAAATGCATTTTCTGGACATTTGATCTTGCCTTATAAATTCACTAAAAACTAAACCATTTTTTAATTTTAGCTTTTAGGCAAGACCTCAAAAACTCAATAATTTGAGTGCATATCTCCATGTTCATAGGGTGTACAAAGTTTTTCTTGTGTATAATTATGAATATCTGTAATTTTTACTGCAAATATTGCATTGTTTACATATTTTGATAATTTTGTAATTTTTTATAAATTTTTGAATAAAAGATTGATTTACAAATTTATTTCCTTATAAAATAGTCAATAATAAATCTTTACAAAAAGCAAATAATAAATATCAAATTCTGTTTGGTTCATATACATTTTTATAAATAAACATTGTCAAGGGTGTCAAAAGTGTATACAGTTATCCCATTGAATATATATATGTCAGAAAACAACTTGTATTATACATTGATAAGAGTACAGGTCTGGTTCAAAATGTCAGTAGTTCCTCTAGGCAAGTAAAGTGCCAAGAGAGAAATCACAGCACTTTAAATATATACCTAATGGCCCAATCCACCCTGGGTAGAAGGAGTCACAAGTCTATCCTCCTGCTGCTGCCACTGCTGATAGGAACAGTCCATTAAGTTGGGGAGGAGAAGGAGGAGATAACTGGTTATACACATTACAATAAACAATAGTTAATATACACTATTATATGTATGTCAGTTTGAAAATAGCACTAAGCACTAGTTAGTTTATCACACAAACACTTGGAGCTAACATTACTGATGCTATACATATAAATCAACAGCAGGTGATGCAAGTTTTGTAATGATGTATAAGTACATCTACAGCAGCTTAAGTGCTAACATACTGCACCCACCTTGTTGAACCTTGAAGGTGTTGTAACTGGAGAGGCAGAGGGTGTTGATGTTACAGTTGGTCCAAGTCGGAAAAAGCTTTGCATCCAACTCTTCTGATGTAACTTTTCAGCCTGAGGAAAATCAAAAGTAAAATTCACAAAGTATTAAAATAATTCTTTTCAAAAGAATTTCTAAAAATAAACAGTTTTAAAAAGTTTTGAATGATTAACAATTTCTTTTTCTTCTATGTGGTGTGTCCTTTCAGGATATGGATGATTATGGCTCTCCACAACTTTCTATTGATTTAATGGTTTACTGAAGCAAAATTCTTTACCTTGAAAAAATCCTCTTCACTAAACTCCAGTACAGCACCAATGAGTCTTAGTACATCATTTTGTTTGTTTTGTGGGGTTGTCAGATAACCAAGAAGAAGATTTTTCATGATCACTCTGTCAAAGAGAAGAAACATACAAATTTCTGAGGAATTTCACTGCTTAACAAAAACATACAAAGGCCAACAATTTCATCATTACAATGCTGACATGATCCCAATTTATTACTTTTATTTATATTAATGACTAGCTTAAAAGCCATATACCATGCGGACTTTTAAGCTAGCTCCCACGGAGGGTTAATTGGGACTTCAGACCAAAACTAAAAGGTGACCTCTGGTCTAACTTAGAAAACAGCAATGATAATTTTGAAGAAATAATTTTGAATTTCTCAATTCACTCCATGGAACTTCAAAACTTCACTTTAACTTTGATTCAGCTATAAGTCCAATTCTGGCCAAATGACCGATTTAGGCTGAAAATCCGATTTGGAGTAAAAATTGAGTTCTTCAAAACCTCACATCATGAAACCTCTCACTTTAACTCCGATTCCTTGACATTTTGAAGAAATAAAATTGATTTCCTCAATTCACATACTTTGGAAGATATTTTAAACTGAATTTAAAACCAAAAAAAAAAAAACAGACAAAAAAAAAATCTATCTTAGGAATAAAAATAAAATTTAATCAAAAAAATATAACAAACCCAAAATTAGAAATATAACTGTGGTTAGTCAAATATCAGACATTGTTTGCTCTCTTTAATAAATATGGCTGTTTTGATTGGCCATTTAACTAGAACCTATCTGCATTTCTATTTGTTTTATAATTGTAAGAGAAAAGTCATTAGTATTATCTTTGTTTCCAGGGAATCTTCTCATCATTAAGTAATGATTATTAATTTACTACTGCTCAGTGAGTTTGTTTCTAACACTTGTAGATTAGTAAATACTCATCTTTTTTGATGTAATAAGCAACTGAAATATCACTATCCATTAAAGCAATGCTTCTCAACTGGGGTCAATATGGACCGTTGGGGTCATATAACATTACTAGGGTCTACACAAAAAAATATAACAAATTGTTCAATCAGGTTTTAGTCGTGTGCTTCACTTACTATCAAAAACCCATAATATACTTGACATTGTGAAAAGGGGGTGATCTTTGATTATCATCGACACCAATGGAGTTGAATATAAAAAAAACTGGCAGAGCAGCATCAACCACAGGGATCTTATTGAATAAATCTGCACTTTTTTTTTTAATTTATTAATTACTCACATATTTTAAGATGTTTTTTATGAGTTATTTTACTAGTGTACATAAATGTTCTATGGAATTTAGATGTTATATACAAGTTTATTTTTGGTAAATTAGTTTTACTAAAGCATATACATTTACTATTTATTATTAAATCATCGTAGGGATATTATCCAGACTAAAAGACTGTTCACTCCTGAATTCCCAAGGCAACTGAAAGTCCTCCCTTATTAGAGAAAAACAACTAGCTTAAATTGAGCTACTTTGGCAGAACCCATCTGAACCACCAGGTGAGACAGGTTAATCCAACACAACATTAGGCTTTTATAACCAAGAGGATGCAAGTTCAATCCCTATGCTGGGTAACAAATATTGTCCATAGAAGCAGAATTTAACAATTTATGTAACACAATTCCTAAACTTATCTACTAGTAAAAAATGAAATAAGCTTTTTTTTTTCTTATCAAATGCTTATGGGGGTTCACCAAAAAAATTAAGAGTAAAAGTGCTCCATGGGTGAAAAAAAAAGGTTGAGAACTACTGTAGTGAAGTGAGACTTTACAACAAATAAAATTTGATTGGTTTTCAATGAAATAAGTGCAATTTTTTTTTTATGCAGTCCCTGTGCATGGAAAATATTTAAAATGCTGAGAACATAAACAGAATAAAAATGAAAACAGATGACAAAACATTGGAATCCAGAAAGATCCTAAACAACTATAATATAATAACTTACTTTTCAACAAAAGCCTCAGAATCAAAGGTTAAGCGATGTATTTCTTCATCAGCTGACTTAAGAAAGCCTTCTTTTTCCTGCACTACAATTAAAAAAAATAAAGCGAACTCATTGGATTGAAACAAAAAACAAAAGACAATAAGAGAAAATAAGAATTTTGAAATACAGAAAACAAATTTTGCTGTTATAATTAAGCTTTTTACTTTTTTCTTTTCTTTTTAACTAGATATTAAGGTGCCTGAATAGATAAAAATAGGTTTTTTTTAAGAAAAACAAAAAAACTCATTAGTATAACATGAAGTATCCTTTGATATTGCTAGCAAGATGATAAATATTAAAGGATTAAAGTCTTAATGTTGAAAATTCTCACTAACTTTTAACAAAAATATTCAGCTCATTTTCCAAGCTGCTTTTTAACACAGGGAGCAATCCTTTGAATGACCTGTGGATTTTTAAATAGAAACTCAAAATGAAAATATTTCAGAAAGTTAACTGACATCAAGTGACAAAACGATTTAATTCAAAACATATTCTAAATGTTATATACAAATTTTGTCCACAATTCAAACAAACCAGCTGAAATGGGGAATCTTTTTTAAATGATTCTGTTTTCTCTCTCTCTCTCTCTCTCTAGAACTAATGAATATTTTACACAAGAAACAAATTATCAAGAATTTTCAATGAAGAATTGAAAAATATACTGTGTTAGAAAAGTTGGTAAATTTGATTTAATGATGAGATCATTAAGAAAAGATCAAGAAATAATTGGCATTTAAAAAAGAATTTATTTATTCTATTTATATCTGAATGAGTAAGAATTAAAATTCATAGTTAGCATTTTAAATGTCTAATTTGCATATTCTGTTTTTGCAATATAGAAAAATGCATTAGTAGAATGAAAAAATAACAGACACCATATTTAATTTGGAACTGTTTTAAAAAGTTTATTTTTTTAATATTTACAGCAAGAATACTCTTTTTAAATTATGATTCACAATTATCAGAAATTCAAATAATTTTTCATTATGAAAAGCAATTTTCTTTTACATATTTTATGGTTGAATAAAAATGATCTGTGCATTATTCCAGAGGTCACTTATAAGCAATCACATGAGAAAACTCCTTTGAAACTACTAAAGCTATTCAAATAATACATTTTTTTTTCAAACACAATCAAGAAAATCACTTGCTAAAATGTAAATTACATTGAATTTTAGTAGCATAAGGAAAAAATGGGAGAATTCTTTTCAAAATACTGGGTTTGAACAAAAGTTTGTAATATTTTTAAGGGAATTTTAAAGATAAAATTTATACATATGTACATAGATTGATTCAACAATCTTTGCTATCTTTGAAGCAGCTTTATTATTCCACCCTCCCAGAACTTGGCATCTTTCAGGGTGATGAACTGGTATAAGTGGTTTTCACAGACTCCCCATTAAGAGAATTTTGTAGGGATCAAAATAAGTGGTAATCCAAAAGTGTAAGGATAGCTGAGTACAAAGAGTGTAGAAGGACACTTCAAACAAGTTGTACCAATTTCTGCTGAGTCTGCAAAGAGACATGAGGTCTACCTTTCTAATTGGCCAATTCTGGCTGCTTCTCATCAAATGCTGCCTTCAATTGGTCCAACTAGGAAAAGAGCTTGTCTGAATTCAATGTCAGATTTTATGGAAGGAGCTGCCCTTTCAAATCTATAAAATACATAGCATCACCTTCTTCAAATGCAAACTGGCTTTTGGAGTAATTAATAGTTACTTATTCCGTTTTCCCCTCCAAGTTCATTTTTGTACAACATTGTTGTAAACAATCTATTTTTCATCATTCTGTCATTGTCATTTTTTTTACAACACTCATATAAGATAGGCAGAGTATCTCTGTCTTGTGACCTGGGTTACTTTTAATCAGTATTTTGATTTGGTCATTATAAACAACTGCAAATCTGCTGGGATGTTCACCATCTCTATAAATGGCACATATCTTTTTTGCTGCCTGTACAGCATATTTTCTTTTCCATAAATAAAAGACTATCAAATGATGAAAATGCATCTTATTTTTCACAATCCACACACAAATTGTACAGAACTATGCAGTGAAATGCCACCTTTCAGAATATATGTTAAATTTCAGTCACATGTGAAATGAAATCACACATGTTCAAATGCTGCCTATTATAAAAGACTACAAACTTTTGTTCTGATCCAATATAAATTAAATTTGTAGATGTCAACCAAAAGAAAAACATGATATCTTCATGGTAATTGTTCTAATGAGCTTCCTTCTTTGGTACCTTGACTTCATGAATTTAAGTGCAGGAACTGAACTTGGTACATATCTACTGTATGACTTTCTCCTCACTGTGGACCTTTACCAAAAGTAAAAAGTTTTACATTTTGGCAATTAGGCAAATATTCCCCAGAATATAAAACATGTGACTCATGCTATGGTTATATAAAATTGATAACAACTAAGTTATATTGGAATAGGACAATGGTGGATTGTTAAGATTACTACCAAAGAATCTATCAGAAGAAAAATCTATTCATCTTACCTTTGATAATTATGAACACATTTTACTAAAGATATTTTTTTTAGATTTCAAACTGAATAAATTGTAACTTTAGAATGTGTCCTCCCATACTGTGGAACTTGACCACAAAAAAAAAGAACTTTATAAATAAGGAGAAAATAATAAAAGTAAAGATATAATTCTATTTAGAAACATTTTTAGATTTTGGAAAAACAAAGACAAAATATTCATAATAGAGGAATTGTATTGGAAAGTTTTTTTTTCTTATATACTGTATTCTTTTCACACAATGCATGAAGAGGCATTTTGGGGTTTTAAATAATTACCAACTATATTTTTATTAAAAAACTGCTACACATTGACAGTTGATCAAGCATTTATCAAAGTCTTGTGCTTTCTTAATATGCAAAAGATAGTCTGTCCTGTAAATCATACCCCCCTGGTGTCAGTTTAAATTGATGCTTCCTTTTTTTTTTTTAAACTATAATTATGAACTACTATTTTGGAAGGTGAAAATTTAAATCATATGAGTTTTCATTTAAAATAAAATAAAAATAATAAAAGGAACTTTAAGCTAAATTATCACAATATATATAAAAAGGAATGCACCAATTTAAACTGACACCAGGAGGATATGAATCAATTTATAAACCAATTCTAAATATTTAAACCTATACTTTTTAACATTTTTCAGTCCCTCTTTCAAAAATAGTGACCATTAATATCCTAAAGTATCTTTAAATCAGAACATGGGGCATTTTGAAATACAGCGATATGAATTAGGGATAATGATTAACATTTTCATTTGAATGTTTAGCCCCAAATTATTTGTCATGGATTTAACTATCATTTGCATTTGTTTCTCCTTCGGCTTAAAATGAACAATGTTTTGTGTGGAAAATGTTAGAAATGAGAAAATATTCCCAAATTCTATTGCAATGTGGTAAATGCATTATTTGACATGGAAACAGCCTTTAAAAAGAAAAGAAAAATACAAACATCTCAGTTTCTTTCAACAACAAAAAAAAAATGGAAAGAAATTAAAAATTCTGTTAATAGCAGATTAGAGTCAAATGAAGCAAAGAAAAAATTGTAGAGAAAGATAAACAAGCTCCAAATATTACAAAATGTACTGAAGTTCACCAAGTGTCAGTACCTGATGTAATACTCACAGGTTGTCAATCAAAGAAAGACGTGACATTCTCTTTCAGAAACAACTAAAGACTTAAATATACATTTTACAAAAAAGCTAAAAATTAAAGGTGCTTTTTGCTTAGGTTTAAACAAAAAAATTAAAACTATGTCTATGTTGCTGTCAAATAAACAATTTATAGAAAAATGAAAAACAAACATTTCAAGATTCATCATATCTTGTAATGCTTCTTGAATAGATTTCATGGTATTTTGGCAGTAAATACAGGATTAAATATTTTCTCTCATAAATATAAAATGTTTACATTTATTCAATGACAAGATAGAAATGAAGTGATGCAATATATCGAGAATATCAAACCTAATGTTCAAATAAGGATATATGCCTCAAAATAGTTTTTAATGTTGTTATCTAAGTCATTAACATGCAATAGAAAAAGAACATTGAGAGTGAGTGAAGCAGCAATAATTGGTCACTAGAATTCATGCTGTTTAGTCAGACATTTATATAATCTTGGCTAGTAACTTGAGCTATCCAAACTACTCATAATTACTAGCTGAGATTACACAAAGATCAAGGAGTAAGCATGCAAACAACATTATTTTGTATTTTTACAATGAAAAACATTTAAGTCAACATTTAAGACAAAGATGTTTTAACAGGAAAAAACAGTTTGTTGGTTTTTGTTGTAACCTAAGGAGGGTTACTGAATGAGGAATAACCAAAATGGAGCTTGGAAATGAAATGATAATCTTTATAACATCAACAAAATACAATACTCGCCAGCGGCGTGAAGTAGGTAAACCACCGCCAATGGTGGATTACTTAGACAGCATATTACCCCCACTTACAATAGTGTCCAACATATTTATACAGCTTGAGACATAACCATTAATGTTCATAGGTACAGTATATAACAGTTTTATAACATGTCACTTCAACTACCCAAGAAAAAAAAAAAATACATTTTAAAATTTAAAACAAAATCAATTCTTTTATGTTCAGTAAGATAGGACCCAATTGAGAATCTTTTCTTTTTCAAATTTAAAATGAGACTTATGGCTATGAATGCTACAAAAAACTGTTTTGGTAGATTTTAGATATGTGGGTTGTGAATATTAAAATAATTTTTTAGAAAAACCTAATTTACAAAATATAGCTCAAGGAAATTTTTTTGAGTAATCTCAAAAATATGATTAAAAAAAAAAAATGGCTTCCACAGATTCAATTGATTTTCATTTGATTAACTGAATAGCAGTGAAACTATTACCATCATTTACACTATTACATATTTATTTTTGGAGGAAATGGAACAGATTCTCAGTGACTTTACTGAGGGACCCAGGAATGTAAAGGATTTATGTTAGCCAATTTCAGGAAATAAACATGGGAAGAACGT